AAGAGTCTGAGGCCAGCCCAAGCCTGCAAATTGACTCGGCTAGTTAAGGAAGTTGCTTACCAAGCCTAATGACCTGAACTTGATCCCTGGGACCCACATGCTGGGAGGAGAAAACCAATTCCTGCAAATTGTCCTCTGATGTTCACATGAGTGGTATGGTACACATGGACGACAACGACACCCCCCCCCCCCCCAACACACACATAAAAACAGAATATAATAAATATTTTTTAATGTGGGAACATATCACATGAATGTATCAACCTAAAGAAGGCTGCCTTAGCTATTCCAGTATCAAGTGAAGTCGATTTTAAGGAAAGAAGCAATATAAATAAAAAGAGATATTTTATAATAGAAAAAAAATTCATCATGCTCTCTGGAAAGGCAAATCAATTCTGTCTAAGTACCTAGAAAGATAGCCTCAACATGCAAGAAGCAGAAACTGCCAAATCTAAGGGGCAAAGTCAAGAAATCCACACACAGTGGCAGGCTCTTTAACACTGTCTGTAACTGAAAACAAGACAAAAGCCAAAAAGAATGAAGAACTTTGATCAACTTCGTGTACACTTGACCTCAAGAAACTTCAAAGAATAAACACAAATTCGGCATGTTTCCTGACCACGGTGGAATTAGCTCGAAATCAATAGCAGAAGAGAACACGTCTAAGTTGTTGGAAATGGAATAAAATGATTCTGAAAACTCACAGCTTTAAAACCAAATTCCAATGGAAAACAGAAACCATTTCATGGGTGCAGGATGTGGCTCAGTGGATAATGCATTTTTGATGTGCAAACCCAGAGCCCATGAAAAGCTAATGTGTGTCTGTGATCCCAATACTCCTACAATGAGATGGGAGACAGAGACTGGGCTGCTCCAGAATCATGTTAACTGAGGAAAATTGGCAGGTCAGTCATCCTGGAGGGGACATAAGGAGACAAGTCTTGGGAATGTTGAAAGGTTCTAGCACATTCCCGTCCAAGTCAGGTTAACTGGAGCTCTGAGTGCTGCAGGCCTGTCTGGTACTTCACAACCTCCCCAGAAGACCTTCCTGAACGACTGCAGAATCGTGCAGGCCAGCAAGCACTGTGTATGCAGCTGCTGTTGTAAGAGACCATGTCTCAAACAAGGTGAAATCAGTGAGCAACACCTGAGATTGTCCTCTGACCTCCATACCTAAACCATGGTACACACACACAAGCGTTTTGACTAAATGA